CATTAGCACCTCTAGTAATATATTTACTGAGAAAAATGGTGACATGTTCAATACTTATTTTACCCGCTGTATGACATCATTCAGACATCTAAACTATGGCATCATTATGTCATCAGAACTATGTCATTATTATGTTATCAGAACTATTACATCATTCTGTAATAAGAACTATGACATCATTCTATCATCAGAATTATATCACTCAGCTAAAATTGTCAACAAATTTGCTAAAATTTCAAATGAGCTCTAGTGTAACTAAACGACAATATTAGCAAAACTGTACCTGAAAGTTAAAACTATCCAACTGTATCTTAAATTTAAATATAGCAAAAGGTAGCAAAAATCTGTAATTGTCAACAAATTGGCTAAAAGTTCAAATAAACTGCAAAAGTTCAAATGAACTCCAACTAGAGAATTTGCATTTCTAACAAAAATCCAGCGTGTAAGCTCAAGGCTGAAAGATTTTTCCTCAGCTGCTGCAGAAACTGAACAAGTTTAATAACAAAACTGTTCATGTGCGTTAAATTTGAACTGCTGACTTTTGTTGAAAGAAGGAAAATCAAAGTTGAGAAGACAGATGATGAACAGAGTAAAACGATAAAATGAGTATAAAATTGAATTTTTTTGTAAAATAACTAAAGCAGTTAAAGCAGCTAAATAATAGCTGAAAAGCTGAAATTAGCACAGAATTATGACAGAATGATAGAGAATTAAATTTATATTAAATTAAATTTCAATTAAATTTATATTATTACTACTGTATATTAAATTAAAGAAAAAGAATAGAGAACGCAAGAGAGAATTTGTTGAGAGTTTGTTGTGTTTAACGAGGTTTAACTGGAGATGTGGCTTTAACAGCAGTTCTTGTTGACATTCTTTAGAAAGTGTTTTGTTAATAAAAGCTCCAAAGAGCACACGGGTGACTTTTGTTTCCATTGTTTAGCATWTAGTGCGCTGCTTCTATGACGGTCAATCGATCAGTGGTATTTTTAGAAGGTGTCCTGCAGGTGACTCAGAAAGTCTCGCCCACGGGCGACCAGGTGCCCGCGAGCACCGTATTGGTGACCCCTGCTCTAAATGCTGAAAAAAGGAACCACTGGTCACCTATGTGCTCTTTTGAGCTTTAATTAACAAAACCTTTTCCAAAGAGCTGCTGTTAAAGTCACATGTCCAGTTAAACACTCAACAAACTCAACAAGTTCTCTCCTGYGTCTTGCTGCGAGCCCCTCTCTGTCCTGCGGACTGCAGCTACACAAAGGCACACACTGAACTCCACCCCCACCCTTCGGAAAATTAACACTTGGGACACAGATATTCAGTTTGTTTACCTCTGAGTAGAGGGGAAAAGAGCATTAAAATGTAGGAGAACAAATTTTCACAATGTGTGGGGGAATGTTTTTCCTG